TCTAAACACTAGTGAGAGCAGGTCCTATGATGAACTCCTCAACGCGGCGAGACCACTATTTTTCTACATTCGTTCACATAAATTCAATGTTCCCTGAGGAATGTCGCGGTCGCATTGACTCAGAGAAACTTGAAGTTCTCTCGCCATCAGGTAGCCCATGTCCAACCCTTTGATGCATATATAGCATCTGATTTTATTAAACTATTTTTGCAATTTTAGACCTTTGATTGAACTTTGCGGGTAATGAGCAAATGCACCTATCAGTATGTATTTTCCAACGTACTTTCTAGCAGAACGTCAAGTTTAACTCGAGCATCTGTCAACACTCTCGTGCGCGCGAAATGTCATATGTGTCGAAACGTACTCGAGAGAACACTTCGGAGGCAAGCTCTCATCGAAATCTGTTTCCGCTTTTTCAAATGCCCTATATTATTAAGCACATTAGAAATAAAATGCGATCATTTCTGAACTAGATCAACGAAATGCATACTTCAGACTACAAGTAATATCCTTATACACTTGTTGTAGGCAACAAATGTATTAGAATGGATGAGGGATCCTTTGACTAGAAACTGGATTGGCTTTAAGCAAGCTGTGTTGCACACTATCTAGGGTTGATGAATTTTCCGCAGATTCTCTACGATATGTCATATATATGCTATACGGTGACCGACCGTTGATTTCGTGGTCGAGTAACTAGCGAACCCTTTGGGTGTCAGCTTCAATTGTGTCGCTGTTTGTTCGGCACATTTCTTCCGTTCCAGTTGAAAAGCCCTGGATGCCCTCCCTATTGGCACACGGCACAGGGCACAGTGTTCACCAAGAAAAGGCGGCATAGCGAAACCATTTGTCATTACGTTTGTTTGGTAAGAGTCGATGAGTAGCTCACTCGCAGAACAAAACTGGCCTTTCGCTGAACCAGCAGCAGCTGCTGTTCCTAGCCAGTTAGTGCTATTGCTATCAATAGATATCGAAAAGACCTTGATCATGGCAATAGAAATATTGTACTTTGATTTATTTCGATACATACTTCTTCATCGCATGAAAGCCTTCCCCGTGTTTACAACACGCAATGCGTGCGCCCATCTCAACGGCAGCGAAAGAGGGAAAACTAGCCAAAAAAAGATCGAGAACCTTCTTTTTATTGTTCCCTAACTCTCACAGCTACCGTCTGTCTTCGTACTCCTGTGTGTATTATTCTGGGACAGAAGGTCGTATAGTGGGCGTATGCCATCACTGAGTATGCCATTCCATCGGCCAATATTACTTGGCCTTCGGAAATAACTCGGCTGATTGGCAACAGGCGGCAAACTTCGATAGGCCAAAATACTCAGTGATTCTGGTTTGGCTACTACTGTTTATGTTGCTTGTGCAGGATGAGTTTCTAGGCCATCTTCTACGGAAAACGATGAACTTGAGAGGGCTAGTAGGATGAGATAAGGCTTAAAATTCTTACGTACGTCTCCGAGTCCTAACTGCTATCTACTATAGAATGAAATTGTTGTTTCCTTTGTTGCTGTTGTTGTTGTGGTGTCGACCAATCTTTGGGGATTGCTGTTCTGTTATTAGATTTGTAGTGAGACTTCGGCTAGCAAGACGAAACAATAACGTTCGGTGTATTCACGGACGGGTTGCAGTAATATAGAAACCTATTTTAAATGGCTTTGGGACAACTAACTGGCCGAATCGAGGGAGAACCTTGCCAGAAAATAAATTTCTGATCAATGGTTGATGTTGCTTTTTAATAGAGATTAATTTAGACCCTTTTTTTTTTTTAGTTCTTGTCTTTGATTTACTCGCTGCTGTAGGTAATGCTTCGCTACTGCGTTAGGTAAATTGTAGTCATCCAGTTGAATAGGGCAGATTTTTAATTGGACTAGAAAAATTATTTTAGGTCTATTGTTGGGCTTTGGCCTGTTAAATTAATTTTTGGTACTCTTGTAGTTTACTGATTGCATTGCTTAATTATTGAGTAGAAAATTCGGCCGAACGCACAAAAATATCCGCTTATAATGAGCGGCATAAGAGTTATTTCCATCAATATCACGACCACATGCTGAACAGTAATATCGTCTATTTCTTTTTTTGTTTGGTCCCTTTGTGTTTTTAAAGGAAAAGTGAAGGGAAATATGCGTATGTTTTTTCATTCTCAATGGCCTGTGGGTTTGAGGTAAACGTCAATGGTTCGTTTTGGACGAAGGGTACTCCGTTAGTGTTCTGAATTATGACGATCTCGGCACGTAGGATCCCTATCTAGAACTTTCATTCTGGAGAAGTGCGCCATTATTGCGAAAACAACCGATATACATATTTCGTTTGCCAGTTCTTCTGCTTTTTTTTTTGTTTTTATATAATCTTTTCTATTGCATCGATAAACTTTATTCGCTAACGCCGTCAATTACTAAATAACAATTTCTACCAGTTGTATTCGTACGTACAACCCACTCATCTAAAGAGCAAGACGTGTGCGTCGTGCGAAGACAACCAGTCATTACTCGATCCCAGTTAATTTTCTGTTCAGTTATTTAAGTGAAGTGGGTTCCTGAAAAAACTGGTTCCAATGAGAGGTTGTGATGGAAAACGACGGCGTCACATTATGTAAGCGGGCATGATTATCCGAGCCTGCTTTCAAGGAGGCACTATCGGAAGAACGAGTCTTCCAAATCGAGAGAGAAACCCAGATCAGACTGGTGATATGCGCATGATCTGCTCAGCAGGCAGATCGCGGGCATCAAATTGTCTTCGGGAAGATGCTCTGGTAAGTAGAACTTGCCGATGGCGATGCCCTTATGTCGATTTAATGGAGCATAGAATTCTATTGAGTTCATTTTCAATGTATCTAAATAAGTAATGCTAAACGTTTTTCTTTGAGGCTTGAAACTGCAACCTGCTAAGAAGGGGATCAGATGTACTTATAAATTATAAGTTATTCGGTTTGTGAGTGCTGCTTGTACGGATTATAGCGTAGAAATTATTGCATTAGGAATTGCAGCTAATTTCGGCCTAGATTAGAACCAGTTGAAATAGAGGACGTTTGAAAATTGCTGGGCCATATATTTGCCCAATTTGCCACGACCTTTTACAAATACATTTCACAATGCTCGTTGATACATTGTATTCACTGGTAATCGTTGGCCTGCCTCGTGCAGCTCAACAACATTGAATTCTCATCATTTCGTATATTTAAGTTGAATACTTAAGTAACTGCGTCGTGAGACTAAAGTTCCTGGGTTATGAAAAGTTTCATTACTTACGTACACTGCCATGACTGTATTGAAAGAGCTATCGTAACATTTATTGGCTCATATTCGACGAACGAACTTGAAAATTAAGGATTAACTCGTAAGTTTTTACGCTAAGGATTAACGCTAAGCATAGCTTGCATTATTTGTTTCATTGTTATAAAGTTGCCTCCATGAACAATTAACCCATGTATATCGTTTATTTAGTTTATTCAAAGCTTATCAATAGCGGACCTCGAAACACAACCAATCGCGTATAATAGAAAAGCCCAAATGAACCCTAATGGAAAATAAGATACATATTTAGCATTCAGAGATCAATTGGGAACCACTTATTCTAATATCAACTACCTCTACTATACTGTGTATATATTAGTGTCGAACGACTGCGAACAAAAGTATTGGGGTATCGTTCTCAGAAACCCGGGATGAATTTTGAAGGCTATACTTTAGCATTGAAAAATAGCCTTATGCAAGAGTGGATTTGTCACCAAGTGAACGAACAGCTTGCATAAGGTTACATAAATTAAGATAGTGAGATATAGCGGTAGAGGACACGGAACTTCAATTTTTCATTCTTTCCTATCCCGGCGGCAAATAGCAACGAGCAAACGAAAATCAACGCTAAACTATAACAGGGCTTGCACTGCACGGGTGCGATCACGTCTCATTTGTAAAATCCAAAAATAGAACGAAGCCAATGAGAATTGCATTTTTTTTTTTTTTTTTTTTGCAAATTTCATAAAACTGTCTGTCTTAGATGTCGTTTAGTTTACTCTAATCAGCTAACCACTTCATTAACATATAAACCCTAGTACCTAGTCAGTTAGACGTGTTTATATACGTACATATCCAGATATTGAAACACATGCCGTAAGTACTGCGTTTATCAGCAGTGAATGATAAACACCTATCAGTAATTCATTTCAGGCTCAAAAGCAGACTATAACAAATTGATTAATACTTGTTGATTTAAAATTAATTTTTGCGTTAGTCTCTAGCTGAATCTATTTTTGTTACGGTCTCTTTCCAACTGTGCCTATAGCCTACCTGTTTTTTGAAGCGCTTTTTTTTTTACGTGTTATTAATAATAAATGTTGAAGTCGTTAATACTAAGCGGTGATGTAGACGGCTACGCAAGAAACAAGGGCACTCCTGGTAGGGTCCATCGTTTTTCTTCATTACTTTATATCGTATGTTCGTTTTCTCTTCCTATTTTTTAATTCATTCCAAATGAAAAATGATGTTAGACAATCTACTTGAAGTTTGTATAACTAGTTTGTATTTATTTCTTCGAAAGCCTCGATGAGTCTAACCAAGGCTACATTTTGAAGCTCAGTTACGGCCGTGTTGCCGCTTACTAGCTGATATCAATTATGGATACGACCTCTGGAAGACATTCAGCTGTTTGTTATAATAAATGACTGACGCAACTATCTTTAATGTCTATGGCCCTTAAATGTATGGATGTTTCCAGTAAAGTATCGCCTGGTGCGGTAGAAGAGACTCTACTTGGTCGCACTTGGTATTGGTGCTTAGGAAACGTGGGAAGTTTTTACAGTTCTGTCTTTTCCGAGCTTATGAGCACATTGCACGCGATCTAAATTTTTCACAAGCGGCCAAAACCGGCAGGATTGGTGACGTTCTCATAGCCGAACAGCTATTTTTGAGAATAATCCCTGGCGCCAAAAATCGTACTTCCTACACGAACGTTTGTTGACCCTTGCGCTATTGCCTGTTCAAAATCGGCACTCATACCCATGGAAAGTTCCAAGACTTCGTGTTCGATGCCAAGAGCCTCAGCTACCATATTTCGGCATTTGGCCAATGCGGCAAAATCGGGATTCTCCTGTGAAAAGAAAAAGGCAGAATATGTGCACACGATTGATCATACGAAACCATTATTCAATGCAGTCTTCCCTAAATTTCCAGAGGATGCGTCACAGATCATTTCGCAACTCTACAAACATGCCCGTAAGCTATGAGGAGCGCACAGAATTTCATTACTCTCGTCTGACTATTACAATAATTTAGCTTATTTTAGGCCTGTCATTTGGATAACCCGTATTAAAGTTCCTCCAAGTTCATATCACTCCTCTAAGTTATCCTACATACTTTCCAAGTTTGCTAAAAGGGTTCTACACACGTACTCGGTTCGATTGTGCCACATATAAACATAAACATAATGGCTAATCTAATAATTTAGGATTGTAGAAAAGGCAAAATATGAACAGATGTAGCACAGTAGTTTTCTAGATTATATTCTTTTGCACAGTTTATACTTTCGAATAGTTCGAAATAGTGCCATCATCAAATTGTACTTTGTATCTCTTTGTTGCGATAGACGAATGGGCATTAGTGACGAAAACGTCTCATTCGATGACCAACTGCAAAGTTTCTGGCTGATGATTTACTTCTGAAAATAACGCATAAAAGACTCACCGTACCCGGCTGCACATCGGCGAAGCCAATCGTCATAAGCCCAAGAAGACTTAAGCGAGGGCACTTCTCTCGAATGTGGCGAGCGAGGTCAACAACTTCCGACATTTCGACGCCTCCCTTCTGTTCTTCCCCAGAAGTATTTACCTACAGAAACAGTTGCAACAATAACAACAATAGTAAACGGCTGCAGTAAGAATGATAACAACATGACATAAGCTAGTTTTGCGTGGTTTGTCAGCGGATCATCATCAGCATATGGCGGTACTTCCTGAAACCTGACCCTTGTAGGTCAACACTAGAACTTTGTCGTAGAAGCTTCGGGCAACATTGTTCTGCCCACATCGAAAAGAGACTATCCGTAAAACCCGGAAGTATATAGACAGCTACAGGACAGGTTCTTCAGATGTACCTTCCTAACCTATATATATATTTCATACGTATTTTCACTAACGTAAAGCGGAATACATGAACAGCTAGAACGTCTTCGTTATATATTTCAGCCTCTCGTCGCGGAGTCGACGCTTCTATAAAGGTCATAGACAGAGTAATCAAGCCCTCAGTTGCTATGAAGTTTTCTTATTGTTATCAGAAAAACTACTTTTGGGTAGTTCGCAGGCTACAACTCTAAGGTATCAACTCTATACCTGGACCATAACGTTGAGCTTATGAGGCTCCCCCCGTTGAGCGCTCTCCCAAGACGAGTTCAAAGAATCAGCAACTTTAGGCGTAGCGACGGTTTCAACAGCCCAAAGACCTGGAACTTTTGCGAGCTGTTTCACCTTGTTACTCTGAAGACGCCCTGATAAAGCAATCAGTAATAACATTACAAGATACAAATATACATTTTAGAAATGGTAACGTTTATTATAATATGCAAAGACAAGTTGTTATTACACTTGGTCTAATCAAACATTACTGTTATAGTTTTATCGAAGCGCAAGGCCTGTGAAGTAAATTAACACCTGGCGGCACCAGTCCGAACTTTAATTTTAGAAAACTTCTAAGGTATCTTAGGAACTTCAAAGTGAAGACCAATTGTTGCCTTTTTGCATGCACAAGTGAAGCAACACCTGAGGCAGGAAGGGGTCAGAATCGAATTCGTGGACTAATCGTCAATCTATCGATACGTTTACTACTCTCAAAAAAGGAAATTACCATAATACTCTTAAGAATTACGTATGTATCGATACGATAGTCGAATTGACGGTTTACTTAGCCCCATAAACACGAGGCCTTCCAGAATTCAATTGTAGAATGTCATGTTTGCTTCAGCTTGTTGAAGTTTTTATTGTTATTGAGCTTAGACACCTTCAATTACCCTATGTATTGAACGTTTGAGATCAGAGAGTGACAGATATTGCTCAGATCTCGTATGCAACGGCGTAGTTCCCTACGGTACTGTTATATATGGAATGTACATTACTTGCTGTTAATGTTTCGTAGATAAGGTTTCTGCCAATACATACAGCACGAAAAGCGTATGAGGGGAAATGTTTCATGCTACCTACACACTAGGCGTATATCACTACCTGAATCATATAAGTGTTAGGGGCAATTAAGTCGTAGTGTAAGTCCATACAAGAAGATATTTATGGCCGCCAGGTTGTAGGCCATTAAAACCGATTCCCTCGTGCCACGAATGAACCTAAACAGTTATATATTTATATTTATTTAAATGTTAGCGAACGTGCTGCTGATCAGTTAAACGTTGCTATATTTAACACTAATATTATGGTAGGATGTTACATAACTCAGGTCAGCTTAAAATTAGTTAATTAGCATCGCAGAGTATCTTCAATATACTATGAGAAGTTAGCTATTTTACCTATGAGATAACGAGTGACTCATTCGTAGAAACTTTACACGCTTTGCTTCCAAAAAGGCAAGATTTCAGTACCCGAACGGTATTTCCTAGCGGAGCGTGAGGGAATGAATTTTGGTGCTTCTAGATGTAATCCCTAAGCATCATTTAAGCGATAAAGATGTTCATTAGATACCGTACCAATGAAATGCCACTTCAATTCAGGACAGTTTTCTTTGATGGAGGGATCCTCTGCCTTGGATACCAATTCCTGAATATAATTTTCGCCGAAATGGCGAGCACCAGCAGCATACGCCGCTATGACATCCTCCTGTAATAATTCATAGAAGAGAAAACAATCTGTTCACTGCTATAATACATTGTTAGATTTCACTGAATATACCTCGTAATAAGCTTCTGTCTATGACAGAGTGCACCTTTAACATTCTATAATAAGGCTGGTTAAAAGAAATTGATAGGTTATTTTTATATTCTACTACAAAACAAGATATAATTATAACTGCGTAATCCACAGTTTGACGCAGTGATTCTGTATGATGTATCTGCGTAAGGGCACACGACGATACGTTCAAATTTTGCTTTCATCTGTACGGATATACTGGACGGTTATAATGGTCTTAGGCATTTATCTGGTTAGGTTCTATATATTATTTTATATTGTCATTAAACTGTAGATGATTGCTATTATAAGAGTTTGACTGCAGTGTTATACTTATGCAGAATCCCAGTTCCGTATTTCAGTGGAATTGTCGACACGGACGTCACGCTATGATTAATGACGTTTGTACAAGCGGGCAACAAAGTTCGTATCGAGGGTGTGGCCGCTTCAGTTTATAGCAGCAAACATTTGGGCCTGGGAGAGCAGGGAAACTGACACTAACGCCATCATATACCAGTTACTCAAAAATCTAGCGCGAAACAAGTCGCACTTAGGACTTACAGGCCACAAACGCTTATTCAAGCATTTTTGCCCTTCAAACATTCGGGGGCCTTGTCTTTCGTACGGCTTAGCTACTAGAAGTTTTGCACCGTGGCAGACACAAATACTAATTTCTTCTTAAAGAAGATAGGCAAATACATCTTGCTACATCGACCAATTTGTTAGATTTGAAACAGGGGGCAAACACCAGCGGCATTTAACAGGTTAAAAAATCAAACGTGACCTATATATAATTCGTATTTGCCGTAATCATAAGCCCACCCTCACTTCTTCGTCTTGTTCTTTAATGTTTATATTTACTGAGCTACTAATTATTTAAATTAGAATGTGGAATTATATTACACATCGAGCACATTTTTTAATTTTTCTAGGCGCTTTTGTAACACACGACTCCAGGTGTGCGATCAAAGATTATAGATATGTTACTCCCAAAGGAGCTACGTCCTTGCATACGCTAAAGACACGCCACGAATGCTTACGCTGTTGGCACCGAGGTTCACTTCGTGTTTCTAACTAAAACCAAAAAAAGAACATAAATAGTTGTATTCTTTACCCACATCAGGCTCAGGTTGACTTAGAAGTACTCACGGAACGACTTTCGTATTGGCTAGCAGGGCCTTCCCACTGATAACACACATAACAGAGAGAGATGCACTGCGCAATAAAATGCTATTAGAGTGCTTGTAAACCAAGATCCATGTATACTTAGCGCTATGTTGGTACTTTATAGAATATTTCTGTTATTACAAAAATTAAGCAAACTATTTTTAGATGTTAACAGAACCAGCGCTACCTGGTGTAAACGATTCACCCAATCACCAAATTGCGTTGTGCAAAGTCTGCCATCTCCAGAATTTTCTTGAAATTATTTCTAAATGGAATCCAATGCTGTCCTATATTTTCCACGATCAGGCTTATCGGTAAGGCCCACATGTTTACTTTAAGCTTGAATTTCGCCGATCGAAACAGCTACTAACTAATCATAAAAAACATGAGCTATTCATTTATTATATGATGTAGCAAAATCCCCCGTGGGAAAACATCCATCTGACAGGGGAATTGCAACATCTGTTGGTGTTTTCTTGTTACAACGGCTACCTAAATTCTAAACGCGTGCATATTAGATTGATTATACAGTGAAAATCGTCATCTTACGATAAACGCCTGGCTTTCAACGTAGAAAACGAAGAATAAGATTAGTTTAATCGAAGAGAGTTCTGTCTCTCTAGACTTAGCCAAAGCTGGTTTTCTTCTAGTGCGATTATCCAATAGTAACAAGAGCAAAAAACATCTGAAGGATTTAGATCGCATCTTAACTTAGATTTCGTAGCTTTATCATTGGGACCCAAATAGTGTTTTTAGGGAAAAAAAAAATAGGTTATCTATATTTTCACTGTAAAGGTGTTTTTTTCCCGAACGATTAAGAATTATGTCGAGGTGAACGTTGGATGATTAATTATTCAAAATCGGAGAGTGAAACAGCAAGCACGTCTCACTTACATAACCGTATTCGTTTAAGTTTTTATGGAACGTTCAGAACTTCTTTTCTCCAGGTATCAGGAAACATACAGTGTGGGAACAAAACTGCAATCGGCGAATAGGGAGGGCAATTGGGATAGAATGTTCGGCCAATTACAAGAGGGTTCCATTGTTACTGCTGGAACATTGGTTTGCATCTCGTACAGCCTCGTGAGCGTAGTCAACCATAAGTTATATGCAAAAGTGGTGATAGAGCTATCACACAGAAATACTCACGGGCTTGCTGAGACCGACTAATAAATCGCTCTATCAGGAAAGTAAGAACACTGCTACCGTTCGCTTGAACGGAATAGCCACACAATAAACACAACAGGACCATCGGAAACTTCTGGCGAAAAATCGTGCCAGATAACCATGACAACATGACGGTTATTGTGTTCTCGAACTCTGGTCGACGTTAGATTGGCTGTAAAATAAGCGAATTAAGTTGTTGAAAACTCTGTGTTTTGGTGTATTTATTTGCCTTTTGGAACCACCTACAAAAAATTGTTTCTTTACGATTTTTTGTAAGCCGACCGAAGTTCATCTTAAAATAGGCTTCGCATTTAATTGTTACAATTGTTAGTTTGAATTTTTTCTACGAGATTGTGCCTTCTTACCATATGCTACAATGTGACTAGCGGGTAAGGATGATCCAAATTTGTGGAAAAATTATTTGGTAACCATCAAGAATATCTGGAAGATTTATAAAACAAATTGAAATTTATTGAATTTTTGCAATTGATGGTATAAAATTGGTAGTAAGTATAACGGGCAAACTGGGTAAATGCAGTATGACGTCTGAGTTTCGAGAGCGTTTCAACGAGAGAAAGTGTTAGGTTAGGTTAGGTTAGGTGTCTTACGCCCAATCGACTGATTTCCAGCATGAAGCGATCCATACTTCCACGTCCCGGTTCGGAATCTAAATCAACTTACGTATCGTTATTGTTAGAAGGCAAGCACGTTATCTAACGAGGTTAATGAAACATTTGGAAAAAGGAATAAAACCAGTATAACAGAATAACGGAGATGGTGCAATAGGTTTTTCGAACGATTGCAACGAGATTGATAAGACTAGTACGATAATTTGCGAAAAAAAGACTCTGAGAACTGTCGATGTATTATGTATATATATTATATTTAGAATCAGGCTGCGAATCGCATTGGTTAAAGCAAGGACAAAAAAAAATGTCAAGGGAAGCCCCCCTGGTCAATTTAGCTTCATTAACATCGATACTAAACTTTACCACGTTTTATTATCGAGTCTATTGCTATTTTTTTTATTAGCAGCAGCGTCATCTATGCATGTAGCAATGCATTAGGGTATTAACGAATTGATTTTGTGTTTAGACGTTTTTTTGGTGTTTTAGATGATATTCGAAATTATTCCCCGACCAATCAAATATCAGTGGCATGAAATTGCGTTACTTTGTTGTGACAATTTTTCCTTCACTCTGAGGATCATATCGATCTTCTATTATCGCTAGAATTTTATTCGTAAAGGTAAAGTACATATGCCGACTAATGATGGATGGCGCGGGAGATTATAGGTCGCGTGCGAGGCTTTGCCGTTCGGCCATAGCCAGCCCATACGAGTGACCTGAGACGATTTCTAGTTACGTCTTTATTGATTCTTTCTGTTTTTCGTTGTCTGTTACGATCGAGTTTCGAAATAATGCAATCCTCGAAAAATATTTCGATCGTTGCGAATACAGCCGGTAGTAAACAGAACTCAGGTATACTTTTGGTTATTATGCCTTTCTACCTATTTGCATACGATTACATTATCACGTGAGTAATGTGTACATAGGCGTTATCAAGCTTAGTTTTGTCTATTTCGTACATTCGACAAGAGGCAGATAGTGAGTGTACGGATTACCTATTCATTCGTGGAAACAATCTATTCCGAACAGCGTTATGTACGTATATACCGTATATTATACGTTTCCTAATGGATCGTACTTCAAACAACTTATTGTTCTCGGTAAAATATCTCCGCGTCATCCAAGTGGACTTGGATATAATGTTATTAATATAAGAAGAACTAGCCAGTTACCAAATATTCTTCTATACACAGTCTACGTTAAAGATTAACAAATTCTTCCCTCTCTTACTGCAAATTCAAACTATTGACCTTTGGCGCATCGACACTATGAAGCTTTTCAATTCTTTCCCTGGTCTGCGTGAAAATAGGTCACGTGATTATTGATAGTGTCATATTGAATATACGCTTTTGTTTTTGCGGTTCCTACACAGAATACATTTGCTAATCAATTATTCCACGCGAACTTGCGATTCTTCGCAGTAAAGCTGCGTTTCTGAGTTGTTTTCCAATTTTGTTACGAAGCCGCTTACCCGTTTGTGCTACCAGAAGAGCAATATCACTATTCATTTACAACCCCATGCGTCTCCTATTCACTGTCTCGCACCGATAGCAGTGATCCACGAATTTGCCAGTGTACTTTGTCACAGTTACCAGACGAACCAAGTTTAGAGTCGGTAACTTCTTCTTCACGATCGAACGCTGCTACTGGACTGTTTCAGCTCGGCTAGCTGAATGTTGCTCTGGGTAAATAGACGATTCCAAAAAACGCATTGCAAACGCATAGCTGTTGCTACTGTCGTCGACGAAAATCTAATTAGAACGCCGTAATGTAAGCTATTACCTCCAGCCGGCGCCGGCAGCAAGATCTCGATCCAGAGTCTGTTCTGTGTCCCTCGGTCTAGCTGGCGTGGACTAGTCGACCCAGTTTTTCCTACTGGCTCGCCCGCTAATCGACTTTAGCTTATCACCGCCCGCCGAACAGGAGCAATGGGACAGACAGGTAACCGATGTTAGTGGTGATTGCATA